TAAGACTTGGCTAGCCAGACATTGTAATTATGAAAATCAAAATCAAGGACCACAAACCCTAACGCTAACACAAATGGGACCGCAACAATACTTTTTTGCATAAAATATTTCATATTCAGATGACGTGGACCACAAACTCTAACCAACATGGACCACTTGCTAAATTAAACAAATGCATAAATATAAATGTGTGTTTCTATAAAGGGAACAAGAGAAATACACACCTCAGACAATATTTAATTTCTTCATTAATTTTTTGCGTTGCGATTCGGTCGGCCATTGAAACAATACTTGCTAACTCACAAAGCAGAAAGAAACTTGTGAAGAAGAACGAACTCACGAAGCAGAACGAACACGTGAAGAATACAAACTTACGATACAAAAAAAAACACGTGAACAAACAAGTGATGATGATGAACAACTGAGTTTAAAGCGCTACTTTTCAGGAGTTATGATTCATGTCTCAGTAAATGTTTCTTTTTCTCAACAATGTTAATGAAAATATAATAATAAATTATGAAAACATTTATATATTGAAAAAAGAATTAATAAACAAACTAAATGAAGTATAATTGAAATACTATTAAAAATAAATAATTCAATTACAAATTAGGTATCAAAAAGAAATATTGTCATTAGTGGAGATGCCAACTATACAATTTTGGAGGGGTACCAAAAAAAGAAAAAGAAAAATAGGAATCAAATATTTGGTTTTTTTAAAGGGTACTGAAAAGTTAAAATATTTAAAGTAAGTGGATTAAAATTAGATTTATGCCATAGAGTTATGGAAAGAAACTCGACTCTCACATTAATTAAAAATAAAAGTTACATTGAATTTCTATAAAATGACACCCTCACTACAAATCAATTTTGTAAAAATAAATTAGACAAAATTTTAATTCTAAGAATAATTATGCAAATGATAGTATTTTTTTTTTTTTTGAAATATAAACATAATTGATATGTCCTGTTTATCCTACGAAACCTTTACAATCTAATTTTTTCTTAGAAAATAATAAAAAAAAATTGCATATATTCAAATATCATTCACTACTAAATAATATATTCAAATTCAAAATAAAACCACCCTGATTTTCTTAAAGAAAAAAAGGAATTATTTTTAGTTAAATTCTTGTGAAATGTTTTTTTTGACATATGTAAGTAAACTCGTGAAGAAAGGAACATGTCCCCATGCAAATTACACACTCTTTAGAGCTTAGTTGTCATTTGTCACAACAATTATAAAATGAATAAAGTGAGAATAAAATCCTAGACAACACCAACCCCCAATGCACTGGATCGAATTTCTGTTTCAAAATTCTGATTCTCCTCTAACACAGTCATTAATAATTTCTTAATCGTTAAATCACATTGCATAATCCATAAAATATTCTACTTATTACTATATTCTTTGGTCCTTAATTTTTTCTATAAGTGAACAGAGTCAGGACAGTTTCTTCCCATGTGCAGTTCTGTCACTGCACCCCAAAACTTCATTGATTCCTTTCTGCTTATATCAGACCTACCCATCTCATTATCCATAAACAGGACAAAACTCCACCAACTGCCTTTAAAACATTTCTTACACAAATATAGGATGAGTTTTTCTTTACACATTCGTATCTTAAATTTTATACCTCTTATTTTTCACATTCCGAGCGACTCGGATTTGGATTCAAATCCATAAATATTATCGTAATGAAACGACTTAATGCCAACCCAATCCGCAATCTTCTTCCATATCAATTTCGAATGAGGACATATTAGGGGTGTGCAAAAAAACTGATTCACAAGAACCGCACTTAAAAATATGGTGCACCTATTTCAAAAGTCTATATTATTTGGTTTAAAAATTAGTCCAGATTCATTTTACTAAAACTATTAAAACTGGTGTCCACTTTTTAAAATCAATATATAAATGGTTAGTCTACTTTTCAAATATAATGTGTTTTTTGTCTTGTTTCTATTTCATGATCATAAATGACAATTAAGATAATGTATATTTAATAAATAAAACTTATATATATGTTTTTTAAGAGAACTTTGTGTTCTCGTAGTCTCATAATGATGCATTTAGTCTTTCATCTCACATTCAATATTATATTTTAAATGCTTATTATTATATTGTAATTATATGATTACTAAGTTGTTTTTGTATGCTTTTTACCTTGAATTAATTCAATTATTAAACTGATATGTTTTTTCTTATAAATCTTTTCCACTAAAGTGATGACGGGTGGAGTCAGAAAAATGATAAGTGTAAAATAGTATATAGAGAGTATTTCCTTGAAAAAGTGAAAAAAAACAGAGATTTTTATATAAATGAGAGAAAATTATATGTATGTGAGAGAGATTGAGTATTTTGTAATTACTCAATTTTGATTTTTTTGATTGAAAATTAATTGTTTTTTTTATATGGTTCCTTAGCATTTTTTTTCATAATTATTACTAATTAATTCAATTCAATTCAATTGGCATGAATGGTTATTAATTTTAAAAATGGTTGGATGGAGTTAAGAATAAGTTGTTGGATTAAGAATTAAATTTTAGTTGAAATAAGTTTGAGGGAAATTTGGTTTTAAAACTGGTCCAAACAAAAACTGATTTTTTAGTGTAAACCAGTTATTAACCAAACCAATCTAAATATAAACTGGTTTTGAAAAAATAAACCAGTTTTGTAAAAGTGGTTTTAAAAATCAAACTGATCGATATATTTGGTTCAATTTGGTTTGATTTTAGAACCATGCACACACAAATAATGAATAAGTGATTGCTATCCTCCATGGCATTAAAGCATAAAACGTAAAAAATTTCATGAACGTTAGAGATTAATCCCCTGGCCGCAAGATTGGATCTAGTAGGAAGTCAATCAAGCACCAATCTCCAAGAAAAAGTTCTTGCCTTGAGAGGAATTTTCGTCTTGCAAATCAAATCTAACACCGTCTTGAGAGTAATCTCTAACTCCGAAACCTCACCCAAGTTTTGCAAAGTCCGATAGTAAGAGCTTATAGTAAAACTCCTAGAAACATCACCTTTCCAATTAAATTTATCGACATTATTCGAATCCAATTGCACATCCGCAAGAAGAACCATAAAATCTTGAAACTCAACCTACACATTCACTGGCCAGTAAAGCATTGCTCTCAAAACCCAAACTCCACTTCCAAACATCATCCGCCCAAATACCCATGCCAGCCATCGAAACCCATTCCAAATCCGCAACCTCGTACAATTTCGGATAAACCAACCTCAATGGCTTTTGATCAAGCCAACAAGCATGCTAAAAAGAGAAATGGCAGTTGTTACCAATTCTGCAAGAAAGTTGTTCCAGAAAGTTCCCAACATCAAGTGACACCCCAAATTTCAATAAACCTTGCCACCATTGAGATTATCTGAATTTAGCGCCTGCTGCACTTTAAAGTAAAATACAGTGGTGAAGGTTTCCATATCTTGCACACAACAACGCAACCCAAGACGCCGACGGATTCATAATACACCTCCAAAGCCACTTGTAAAGCAATGCTTTATTAAAGCACACAAGATCCTTAATACCTAAGCCTCTTTTGCGTTTAGGCCTACATAATTTCTCCCAACTTATCCAAGATATTTTTGAATTATACCCATCACTAGACCATAGAAAATTCCTTTGTATAGAAATCAATTTAGATGCAACCAAAGATAGGACTTTAAAGATGGAAAAGAAGTGAATTGAAATATTAGTAAGAATTGAATTGAGAAGAGTAAGTCTCCCTCCAAATGACAATAACCTACCCCTCCAAGTTGATAACTTAGCTCTAAAACTATTCACAACAGGAATCTAGAAATTCACGTTCCTATGCCTACCACCAACAGGTATGCCAAGAAACAAAATGAAAACTTACCTTGGTTACAAGCCAGAAAATTCGCGGCAGCCTCCATGAACGGATCCTCCAAGCCAACCCCAAAATGACAACTTTTGCAGAAATTTATATTCAATCCTGATATGAGTTCGAAACCATGTAAAATGCTTTTAATCCCCCAAAGATCTGATCCATCTCCATCCCTAATAAGAACAATATCATCGGCGCATTGGGCAATGCCTATAGGCTCCGTATTATTAATACAAAAACCTTTGAACAATGCCTTTTGATTTGCTACCTTAACCAACAATGCCAAACCTTCGGCCACAAGAGCATACAAGAAAGGAGACAAATGGTCCCCTTGCCTAAGACCCCTTGTTATCTCAAAATTGTGCGTTTTACCACAATTTACCAAAACAGACACAAAGCTCTTAAACACACTGCCTCATATCCAACTTCTCCATTTGGGATAAAAATTCATCTGCACCAAGACACCTTCAAGAAACTTCCACTCAACGGAATCGTAAGCTTGGGCAAAATCAACCTTAAAGACTAAAAAACTCCTCTTACCTCTCTTAGCCAAGTCCAACACTTCATTTTAAAGGAGAACACCATCAAGCAACTAGCGCCCAGGAATAAATGTTGATTGTGTAGATGAAACCAAATTTCCAATAACTTTACTAAGCCTTGTAGCCGTAATCTTCGAGATCAGTTTATAAACACAACCAAGTAAACATATGGGTCAAAAATCCTCCAACTTCTGAAGGTTATCCGCTTTTGGGATAAGTGCAATGAAGGAAGACACAAAAGCCTTGGGAAGAAACCCAAACTTATGGAAATGCTGAACAACATTAAATAGTTCCCCATCCAAAACCTCCCATCACCGTTTTAAGAACGCGAAATCAAAACCATTGGGCCCAGGACTCTTCTCCCCTGCACATGCAGCTAACGCCTCCAGAATATCTTCCATAAAGAAAAACGTAGTGAGCGTATCATTATCCTCAACTGAGAGCTTAGGTAGAGCCGACATATCCAATCACAAGGCACAACCTGTAACCGAGATGATTTATCGAGAAAGAAGTCTCTAATACTATTTTTTATCAATCCCACATCCTCTAAAACTGCACCCCTGTGTTTCAACATAACAATGTTATTTCTCCTTCATCTCGACTTAAATATATCATGAAAGAATCTAGAGTTTATATCACCTTCTTTCACCCATTTGACCTTTGATTTTTGCTTTACCAAACTTTTCTTGAGTTTCAGATTAAACCAAACCTTACCTTGAGCTTCACTTCTTTTAGTCAACACCTCCTCCGAGATATTAACTCTAATGAAGTCCATCTCATTCTCAATCATATTAAGATCTCTAACTCTTTCTTCGATGCTTAAATCCACCCACCCAAATATATGTGTATTCCACCATCTTAATTTATTTCTAAGGACTTTAAGCTTTTCCACCAAGACATGTGAAGGACTGCCCATGATCTCTACAAAATTTCATGACTCTTTTAGAAACTCCATGAAGTTCAGATGCTCATACCAGCAATTGAAGATTTTGAATGGTTTTGGGCCCCAATTGAATATCTTGAATGATTTCGGATGCTCAACCAGATTGGTAGGTGATCCGAAATATCCCTCGATCCAGCCTGTTAAGTAACCACTCCCCATTTTGAAGCAAGCTCCTTAGATAACAAAATTTTTTCCAGCCTACTCTTACAACTTCCCGAAGGCGCGCACCAAGTAAATTCATTCCCAATTAGAGGCAGATCAATAAGCTCTATGTCCTCGATGAATGAAGCAAATTCCTCCATTTTAGAGTTTCTTGTTATACCCTTCCCCTTCCTTTCGAACCCATATTTTATCGCATTAAAATCTCCAGCCACTAACCATTCACCCTATGGAGGCTTTCTTTTCGCTTCAATCAGATTCGACCAAAACCTCATTTTCTAGGCTAAATTGTAGGAAGAATAAACATTGATCAAATATATTTTAACACCTTTCCAGTTACCTGCGACTCCTAAATAACCAAAGCCTCTGAAGCTGAACTCAGAACAGAACACGCACTTGTTCCAAACCGTCAGGATACCACCAGATTTCCCAATTGTCCCAGAAGCCGACCAATCAAACTCACCATTACCCCATAAGCTTTGAACAACATCCACACTTAAATTTTGAAACTTAATTTTCTGAATAAACTCAACATCGGCGTTACCATTAATAAATATTTTTTTCATCCTTCTACGCTTGAAGGAAGACTCACACACACAGACATTATATGTAACAAGATTCATGGAAACCTTAATTTTGCCCCCATCTTGTTCTCATATGTTTGCCTGTCATGAGTTTCCAATCCCCTGATTATACTTTCAAATACTTCGTCACCTTCAATACCAAGTTCCTTTATAGTTTGCCACACCTTGATAGGAACGTCTTTAATGGATTTACGCACTCTAGAATTGCCTTGATTAAAATTTGTATCGCTAATCGAATTGCAACACAAGATGGACCCACCAGAGAAACGAGAAGACTCATCTTCCAAATGTGAGCGGATGTGAATACTCTTCAGAACAACCTCTCTTTTAAATCCATAAATATTTATTAAGAGTGAAGAGATCTCTTATCATCTCATTTAAATATGTTTAGATTTTTGAGAATCATGTCTATATTTTAGTATATTTAAATATTTTTTTAAAAAAAGTTAAAAGAATAATCGCATATATTAGAGATGAATTTACGTCTTTCTCGATCGATCTTAGAATTTTTAGAGATTTTCAAGAGTTTGGTTAGACAAAGAAGTCTACGAGACATTCAGTAGTTTGAATTATTTGAAAATTATGTAACAAATTTATTTTTATCAAAAAAGTTTGTCGGTAAATTTTTGGGTAAATTCGATAATTGACTTGACTTGGAAGTGGGTCTAATCTCATGTTGCAGCATCCGTTCTCTCCTTGTTTGGTTGGGAACGTCGTCCAATCAGTTGTTGTATACAAGTGTGAGTTGAAAGTACCACATTGTTAAAAAAAATGGAGATTGAACACTTTATAAGTGAGAGGAATCATACACCTATTACCTTAAAGTTTTTGATGAATATGTGGTGTTTCTCTCACTTGTGTGTTACTCTTGATCTAATGTAAATGTTCCTCATGATAATCCTACAATGATATCAGAGACAGAACCGATGATTCAATTAAGGGATCGACTCTCTATATCAAAAATCTTTCAGTGATCAAACGACGTTACTCTATTTTCTGCAAGTGGTCAAATTTACATCCCTACAACTTTCGCTTTCGAGTGTTTTCTCGTCTTTTAAGTTTTTCATCTTCAATAACCATTTAAAGTTATAAATCAAAGTTTTACCAATTAGCAAGCCGATAGAGATTAGTTTCCATCCAAACTAATAAATATTTCACTCCTTCACATGCAAAATTCAGAAAACATAAGCCAAAACACAAATAAAACAAAATGGATTTTCTAACCCCCAACCCCCATTTCATCATTAAATATAATATCTTCATATATTTTATCCTTCAAGGGAATTTGAATGTTGGGTATGTCTTAGATTCAATATATGTGCATATATGTGTGCATGTGATAGCTACGTTTGAATGACCATGCTAGGTACACTAAACTTCATTTAAGTCAAAGGTGGTTTCCATCAAATTACTATTAAAGCTTAAGATCATAAACAAGTACTCAGAATGCTCTCCTTCTGTTTTGCAACAATTTATGCATTGAACATGACAGCCTATAAGGTTGAATATTAGAGTTGATAGGGGAGTTGGAGTAGTCACTTTTCAATATTCTTTATAATTCATTGCTTGTTATCAAGTGAGTAATATTTGAAAAGTCCATTCAACCACCCTTGATTCATTGTAGTTTTTTGTTGTTCTTGTGCACTTAGTGCTCTATGGTTTCTTATTTGCTATTAATCAAACTCATTTAACTTCAATACAATTCCATTTGAACAATATTAACAAACAATCGAGGTCAGACCAATTGACGAGCCGATCAATTTATAGTTCAACCAATTGAACATATCACTTTGATCCGATTTTTAAAACATTGTTTAAAGCAATCCTAATCAATGTGTCATCGAAGACTAAACGTAAACACTTCCTATAAAAATTTGATTAGTAATTTGTCCTATTTTGGTTATATCCTATACCTATTATGTTAAACTAAACAACAGTTGATTCCTTGCGTATAGATATATACAAGTAGAACAAACCAAAACAATGAGTTAGTTTATCATTTTTCATAATTCTCGCATAAAACACAAGAAAAAACAAGCATTTGCGTAATCAGCGCCTGTGAGTTTTTGTTGGAATAATTGATATTCTCAGAGTGATTATTATAATGCAAAAAGCATATTATCTTTTCAATTTTTTTAAAAGGGTTTTGATTCCATAGTAGGTGGCAAAGTTTTGGATTGATGTATAAGAAAAGGTAGCGGAAAAAAAGGTGAAAGAGTGAAGTTAAGCAAATGGATTTGTATGAGAATAATTACAAATGAAAAGAGAATCAATGTTGGGATGTATCTGACTTTATGCGGCTGTGAAAAGCTCAATAAGTGATTTTTTTTATAAGTTAGTTTAGTTTTCTGTCTGATGGAATGTCAGTAAACTAAAGTGCTGGATAGGGAAATGAGCTAGCTAGCAAGCATAATCATCACATTATTCCATGCAGATACTTTTCGAATTCACACAGTCGCGTTCGCTCTTCAATCAAGATCAAACGATTCAGATTTCAAAAATTACTGATAATCTGACTGTGTGAATACGTGCAGATATTTTTAGTATTCACATAGTCGCGTTCGCTCGTTCAATCAAGATCAGACGATTCAGATTCCAGATTAATGTTTTATAAGGGTTAAATAAAAAACAAATGTGTGAATAATCTAATAATTTTTGAAACAACCTAATCGTAATCGAACAGATATTGATGTTCTGACTGCGTGAATGCATGCGATCCAGATGGAGTTCAAATAATTCTCAGTATACTTTACAACAACTTTTACCCTAAGGTACATTCTCTCTCTCACTCTCTCTCTTTGAGATTCTGAACAGTGATTAATTTCCACGTTGCTTTGATGTATATATCAGAAGATGATGTCAACATGAACAAGTACTGTTGTCCACATGCAGAATAATGAGCTACACTACAAAGGATTAGTTTTGTTCCAAATTTAGAACTCTAGCTTTCATTTTCTTCATTCATAATGGAAATAGAATAACTCTTCTGTGGTATTTTTTGGTTATGACACATTAGTTAATGATATTTCTCTATGGATATAGGAAATAAAAATCATAAATCATATTGAAATATTTAAAGAATTCGAATATTTACCGGTCGATGCTAACCCTATTTAACTTCGAAGAAAAGCAAAAATAAAATAAATTACTAGATAAAAACAAGCATATATAGTTGTCTTATTATACTAGTAAGAACTTATTAGTCGGAAAATCATTGATGTATTATTTTCGAAAGGATTAACTTTTATTTCGATTGAAATGTCTAAGAAGTATATTATGTAAGAGGTTTAGACTTCGATCTCGATCTCTACTACTAACATTTTTCAATGTTCTTAATAAATTAACCACTAATATATATGTTAAAAAATAATTATCGACGCGTTGAAAATTTTAATATATGATCTTAGTAAATATCGAGGGAAACATCAATTACAATGTCATGATGACGATGAATTTTCGGTTATTCAAAATAATTCAACTTTTGGCCATACTATCTAAGAAGAAGTATACAAAAGTCTGTCTATATAGTTTCTGTAAATGTTATCATGACAAACAACTTTGCATATATTTGAGTCTGAAACTCTTTGATGGAAAAAACAAATCAAACATGATGAAAAACATCTTTGTAAAGTAAAGAAAATTAAGAAAAAGTAAACACAAAAACAACAGACTATGAACATATAAGAGAAGAAGAATCTATATTCATTAAGAAAATTGAAGAATTTTCTTTCTATATATATGCTACTATAAAGTACTATTATACCTTGGATCTTGTACCAAGCCTTAACTCCAGATCTAGCTCTTCAATTGAATTAGGGCTAAACTCAAACATTTTTTCTTGGATATTTTGTTGATTATCAAAAGTGCTTTTTGAGTTTGAGAATAATTGATTTGATGAAGAATCTATTTTCTTCCTCTTCTTGCAATTGATCACATCTTCTTCAAGTGGATGAGCTCTACACAAAACCAAATTCAAGCTCATAGATACATCACTTTCATCATCTCTTACCCTAGAATCCAATATTCCCTTGGAGACTTTTTCATCAAGATTATCATTATCAACTTCTTGTTGAAACTTTGGCGAACATAATCTATCGTCTCGAGGTAAGTTCAACCATGATTCGGGAGGTGAAATTAGGGTTTCCTCTCTGAATAAATCCTTAGAAGACGAGGAGAGATCGAGATGAGAATTAGGGTTAGTTTTCTCATAAACCAAACCACAAAGAGGTGAATTAGGGAAAAGATTACTATTATAAGCCAAATAGTTATGATCACTTTGAATAAGTGGCTTTTGATGAAGAAGATGATGATGATTTTCAATTTCAACCTCATGATGATGATGATGATGAAAGAGAATTTGATCATTTGAAGGTTGTTGTTTTAGTCTTGCTCTATCTTTTCTATGAACATTCATATGTCCACCTAATGCTTGTGCTGACCTAAACTCTCTTCTACAAAAGCTACAAGAATATGATCTTGGTGGCCATATACATCCACCAAGTGAACCTGCAGCCGCGTCTTCGGCGAAAGCTTGTTCTTCCCATGAATCACCATAACAAGAAGAAGAAGGAATAGTAACAATATTTGAATTAGAACTCATTGAGTATTTTCTCTTTGTCTGAATCCAACATTGATCCTGTTCCATTGATACAAAGATCACAAAAGCTATATATATATAAGACAAAGAAATCAACCAAAAGCTATATGAAGTGGAATTACTATCTAGGGCTTATAAATATAGATGAAGTGTTGATTAAGAGAGGGTTTTTGTTTTGTTTTTGTTGAAGATATGTGTGATATGAAGTGTAGAATACTCTAACTTGCTTGTATTTTGGTGTATGATTAAACCAAACACTTTTGGTGTTTTTTGTGTTTGGTTTTGAAAAAGAGTCAAAGAGGGACACACACACTAACTTGCCCTTTTTTTCTGCATTTTTCTTAGTGAGGCGAAGATAAGCAAAAGCAGCCATGGTTTTGAAAATTAGTCATGTGGGACCCAAGGTTTTAAATAACGGTCGCAATCGCATCGCAGTCACGCCAAAATTTTCGCAATTTCGATCGGTACATATATTACAACGCTGATTACAATCGTCACAGTGTAAATTATAATTTATTTTTATTATAAAATCAATGAATAATAATACTGATATCGATATCGATATCGTTTTGTCAGTATCATTTTTGTGGTAATGTAAAGTAATTTATAACTTTGGTGGGACCTTTGATGTCTTACATATAATAACATGAGATGTGAGGTGGGGGTGGATATAGTACAAAGACTGACTTAACTTCAAAAAAATCTGACTGCAATCTCTTCAGGACTTTGAGATCTAACAATGTGTTGTCCTTTTAGTTTTGAGAAAATAATGTCCTTTGGTTTTTTATTTTTTTGTAGATAGAACAAGTAGGGTTTTCATGCGTCCTTTTTCTATTCATAATAATAATAATAGAAGTTAATATTTACAATAATGATACTAGTAGGGAATATTTAATTTGTATATACATAGGTCGTATCGATCAATCCATAAATGTATAGTTTTTATATAATTATAATTAATAATTTGTTGGATATGTGTGACAAGGAGCACTAAGTTTTAAAGACGATTAATCGGTTTATAATCTTTTTGTTTTTATATTAAAAAACTTTATATTGTTAAATCTCATGTTTGGGGGAATTTTAATTTGTTGATGTTTTATTTCCATCGGTAGAAAGGTCGATTATTTTAATATTGTCTAAGACGTGGGTGCATGATGTGAAATTGACTTAATTATCACTATCAAAATCACATATTTATTAATTTAGTTAGATATAAAGTAACACAAAAAAAAAAAACCCAATTTATGTTGAAATAAAAATTGTCTTGATAATTACACATTGATTCTATTATTTATTTATTTATTAATTTAGATTAAAAGATAGAAAAGTAAAGAAAAAAATCAACGGGTAAGACAATGAAAATCATTTGACCCAAAAAAATAGAAGTCAGAGTTAGACTAAATTTACTATTTTGTATCGATCAGCGAATGAAAAATAGAAAGTATGGTTGAACGACAAGGACAGTTCGTTGGGCGAATTTCAGCTCGATTAACAAATTCAGATATAATTGAAATGGTCAAAAATAGGGAAAGTTAGTTGGGAAGCAAAGACGGTTGAAAAAGCTTTAGAGCTAAGCATGCCAAAATCAAGATTCGTTGTGAGAATTGATTGCTCGTCCAATAAATGGGATCGGATCTAGAAATTCTATAGATATGGGAGCACAACAATTCAATTTGTGGTTTTATGTTAGAGTTTGAATGAACCATGAAGAAGAGACAGTGAGGTAGAGGAAGATAGAGAGTGCACTCAAGGTTTCCTTAAGATGTGATTATGATTCATTGATCATTAAAATACACATGAGTAGCTTATATATGCATGATACACTCAATATAGTTTGTTGCATGAAGTTAAAGTTAGTTAGTATATACTAACTAACTTTTCTATTATAACTACCATTATCCTAACTAACTTGTCACCCTTGTATAATTGCAACGCATTACTCTAATATCCCCTCAAGTTCATAATAATGGAAGAGATGTAACTTTGAGCTTGTCTTTAAAGTCTTGAAAGGATGCATGTGATAGTTGTTTAGTAGGTGCATTAGCAATCTGCATTGTGCCTGGTATATGTTGAATCAAAAGCTTGTTAGATGCTACTATTTCTCCTACAAAATGAATGATTAACTCTATATATTTGGTTATTTCATGTAGAACTGGGTTATGCTCCACCATTACTACACAAATGTTATCATATAGTAACACATGAGTTTGATATATAACATGGAGTTTGGCTAGTAGTGATTCAATCTATAAGATTTGTGAGGTTGTGCAAATGAGGGCCTGATATTTGGCTTCATTGCTCGATCTTTCCACTTTATGCGAAGATTCTGTTGGCTTTAGCACTATACCATGATGTGTAGTACCACTGAAATAGTGAAGTATCCGTTTGACTGCACTCCGTTGAGAATCCAGTGGTTGAGACATGAATTAACACGCTTTATTTACACTATAGGCAATGTCTGGTTGTGTTAAAGATGCGTATTTAAGGGCTCTAATAATTGATATGCAGTGTGTTGGATCATAGATAATATTTGTGCCATGTTTGCTCAGTTTGCATTAACTTAACATAAGAGTGCTAACTCCATTTGCACCTTCCATATTTGGCTTGACCAATAGATCTTTTATGTACTTGGTTTGAGTTAAGATGATAACACCACTATGTTGTGCATGGACTTCAATCTCAAGAAAGTAATTTGCCTTCCCTAGCTTCTTTAGAGAAAACTTATGAAAAAGCTTATTGATCAAGTCATGTACTAGTTTTGATGAGGTTCCTGTGATGAGTATGTCATCTACGTACATGAGAGCATATAATGTGGCATCCTAATGTTGATAGATAAAGGGGAAATGGTCAAATTTGCTGGAAAGGAGGCCAAACTGCACAAGAGGTTGATGCAGTTTCTTATACCAAGCCCTAGAGGCTTGTTTGAGGCTATAAATGGCCTTCTTAAGCTTGAAAACAAGAGAAGATTTGTTGTCATTGAACCCTGGAGTGTTGTATGTATACTTCCTCTAGAATATCTCCATTCAAGAAGGAATTGTTGATGTCTATCTATTGGAGCTCCCATTTGAATGTGAGGTCCAATGTAATGATGATTCTGATTGTAGTTGGTTTGACAACTGGTGAAAAAGTCTCATGAAAATCAAAGCCTTCTTGTTGATGAAAGCCTTTAGCAACAAGTGCAGCTTTGTACTTGTTAAGTGTGCCATGTGGATTTTCTTTGGTCTTGAAGACCCACTTACAACCAATTGCCTCCCTATGAGGTGGGAGTTCAATTTAATGTCTAAACATCATTCATCAGGAGTGAATTATATTCTTTTTTCATTACATTGAGCCACTCAGGATGTGCTAATGTCTGCTTAGCTATGGTGGGTTCAGAATGAACAAGGAATGCATTCAGTTTAAAATTACCAGTTTTAGCTCTTGTTATCATATCATGATTATTGGTGAGTAGTGGAATGAGCTTAGACTGACTATGAAAGGAAGGTGACAAAGAGTTAGATGAATTGGTGATACACTTAACTATGTAGAGATACTCTAAGATGACTTACTGAGCAAGTCATTTGTGCAGTCAATTTGTAGATGCTCAGAATGCTAGGGCTTGAGTAAGATCATGTATATCTCGGTTTGTCACATTAGTAGTTGATTGATTTGGTGACTCAATGTGAGTTTAAAGTAATTGAGAGATTCTTGGGTTAGGCATACTTGGTGAGGCATAATTTGTGAGATTTGTAGTTGACTGATTATGGTGAGAGTTTAATGAGATAGATGAAGTTTTGTCTGCAATTGGATATGATTAAAGTTGAATCTCATTTTGAGCAACTTCAGGTATGTGGATATGAGTAGTGCCAAGCATTGGAAGTGTTAGAGACTTGGCCAATTGAGTATTAGTTTTGGTCTTGTTGACTAGAACTTGATGTGAATTAGAATATGGAAATTTAGTTTTGAATACCACATCTTTTGAGACATAAATTCTTCCATCTGGATCCAGACGCTTGTGACCCTTGTGTGTTTGAGAGACACCAATATATACACACTTTGTGCTTCTAAAGTCAATTTTATATTGATTGTAAGGCCTCAGGTGAGGGTAGAATGAACAACCAAACACTTTTAGTGTTTTATAGTCAGGTTTCTTATGATGCAAGGCATAGAAGGGAGAGACATGGTTTGATTGGTAATATATTAATAAGGCTTACTGTTGTTATGAAACTATGATCCCATAAATCAATTGGTAGAGATTTATGAGCCAACAGGGTCAGTCCCGTTTCTACAATTTGTCTATGCTTCCTCTCAACTATTCCATTCTGATGTAATGTATGTGGATAGGTTAGTCAATGCTTGATGCCTTGTTTATTCAACAAATTTGTAAATGGTATGAATTCATCTCCAAAGTATGAATGAATGGCCTTTATCTGAGCATTTAATTGTGTAGAGACATAACTTTGAAATATTTTAAAGGAATTGATGGCATCATTTTTTGTTTTGTTTTAGCATGTAAGTTCAGGTGTACCTTGTATAGGCATCAACAAATAAAATATATTAAGAGTAACCACCTCTAGATGGAGTTGGTGATGACCCTTCATAGATCTGCATGAACCAGTTCAAATGTAATGTTGTACTTGGTAAGAGTTAAAGGAGCATGAAACCTATGTGATTTTCCTAGACAACATGCATGAGAAAAACTCTCAGAATTCTTACTATTGAAATGGAAATTACACAGTTTAAGCACTTGGATTACTGCTCGAAGAGTAGAATGCCCTAGTCTGTAGTGCCACATTACAAGATTATCAACATTTATAGACACACTATTATTCCCAGGACTAGCAGTAATATTATTAGTAATATAATACAACTGAGGAGAACTACTTAAAGAATACTTGTGATTGAAGTCAAAAGTAAGATTGTTGAAGCAGTACAATCCACTATATTCAAGTAAACCTTCTGTTGGAACAAAATTATTTAATACCATATCCCTTGGGTTTTGATGATAACAGAGTATTTAAGAAACAATTGGGCTTTCTAACTTATATTCAAGTTTATAGGAATATAAT